GCCTAAAATGAGTACTACGAGTTGCCGAGCAATTTGAAAAATATGTTTAAGTGTTAAAAAAAATACCTAGCTTATTAATAATAGCTACCAGGCATTGAGCACATTTGAATGCCATAATTGTACAAAAGAAATACCACACTTTCAACATCAATAGTTTCTTTTTATATTGTGACATCTGCAACCCTTCCGCAACTTCTTTAATGCATTTATTACTCATTTTTTGGCAAACGATTCAATGGAAGTGAATTCTGCGAACTATCAACCGGAGTAACGAAGCGAGTGATTTCGGGCCACATGTTGCCTTGAGCCACGAAAAACGAATTACCCAGCAAACAGATAGCAGGCGCTACGATACATCAGATACAGATACAGATACCCGTCGTCTCTCCGAGAAACAGAGTCGCACTGAGACAAACCGACAAACCAGAAAGCGATCTATTAAACTCTTTTTCTACCCATATATATATATATATATATATATTTTTTTTTTTTTTTAATCTTCTATTTTCAGAGTTCTTTACTTAAATGATTTATTGAAGAACATATTTTTACGAAACAGGCAATAATACTTTTAAATACACGCAGCACTATTTTCTTGTTGTAATACAAATTGTGTATAGAGAAATTATACTCTTCTTCCCAATAAGAATACACAATATAATCAAGCCAATTTTTAGTATACTAAGTACCTGCGCTCTTAGGCACGAGCACATGTTTAGCTTAGAATTTTAACTATTTTCTCAAGAAGGTTGGATACAACAAAGGGGAGTGATCATAATAAAGTGATCGTTTCAGATCGTCATCTAAAGCGGCGCATCTCTGGCGCAACGCAGAGAGCGAGCGAGAGAAAGAGAGAGCTGAAAAGTATCTGAGAAATATGTACTTTCGCAGAAGAGCTGCAAAGGTGGATCGGAATCGGGATCCGACGCCGTTCGTCGACGGCGGTGCGGCTACTTTTCGGATGGAGTGGTTAGTTCTTGCAAGGCGGTCGGTCAACGGTGTTCGGCGCCTTTTTCGCTGGTCGCTGCTTAAATGTTTGTTCGGAGAAATGAAAACCGAAAACGCAACAGTTTGTGTTTGTTAAATAATTTAATTCGCCGCTGCGAAGGAAAAAAGTGAAATGGCATATTACGAGTTGGCTTAATTATTTTCTGTGCACGTTGGCTGGAGTGTTGAAAACGTACTTTTATTTTCGTGAAACGACCTTTGCGAACTTATCGTCGTAACCAGCGACAAAAAACAGCAAATAGGCAGTGACAACAACAGCGAGGGCTAATAATAATTAAACAGCGTGTTGTGTTGTTGTCTGCTCGCCGAATTGTCGCTGTGTGTGTGCCGCGTATCTGTGAGTGCGCCAGTGAGTGTGTGCGTCTGCATGGGAGTGTTATCTCTCAACAATTGCGTACCCCTAGTCAAGATCCTCCACTCCGATACTCCACTGGACACCCCCACTCCCGCTCCACTTGCACGCCATATGCACACGTATATGCACATGCTGTATATACCCGCAATACTCCCCGATCATCCGATAGATGCGAATTGCCAGCAAGCACCCAGTTAAACCGGCAAAACGCGGCAAAAGTGCTGACCCTGCATTCGACGGCAACCTGATCGGATCACCTGTAACAGGTGAGTTGCTGCTGAGCAGCTCAATTAAGGCCGACATCTGACATCTGAGGCATGTCCATGCCAACATGTGGAATTCTAAGTTGGGGAGAGAACGTCTAACTTGTGTATTACATAGTTTGTGCCTTTTGTATCCATATGATTATTGAAAACAGTGCAGAGTTAATAATCTCCTATATGAAAGACAGGTATTTACAAAAAGTAAATACAGGCATATTTTTGGCATGAAGAATTTGTTGAATCACCAAATCTGGCAAGAAAAATGTTCTTATCGAAATCCCATATACGAGTGTGCCCATTATGATTACAAATACACACCATGTGGGCCTTTAAAAATTATTTCCCAATTGCTTGCCAAAAATATTAAAAATAGCAGAAAAGTACAATCAAGTCCGAGAAATCTCTCTGTCCGCCGACATAAATGGGCAACAACCCAGAGTTGCTTAAAATCTCGGCAATTTGCAGTCGAGATCCGAGAATCCGAAGCGAGACTCAAACCGAACACTTGGGCATTAAAAAGTTCATTAAACGAATTCTGCGATCCCGCCTGGGCCTGGATTCGTATTCGTATACCCTTCCACCGCCCCAGCTGATTATTCTCAGACAGATAAGAGTGGGAAAAAATACAACATATTAGTGGGAAAAAATACAACATACAATATATTCAATAAGTCAAGGCACTCTTTAAGGCAGTACCTTATCTACAGCTGTGGAGGCTATAGAAAAAAGTTAGTTTAGTCGCAGAGACCGAAAGTTGCATAACAGCAAGGCAAGGGTACACCTGGTCCCACCTGTACAGTGGACTCCAGTGGATGGAGGGAAGGTCGGTGGGCGAGCGGAACGCTTGTGCGTCCAAGCTGCACTGGGAGAAATGGGAGAAATCAAGAAAGCGCTGGCTCTATTTGTAATTCATTCACTAACTAGTGCACATTTATAGATATTCTCTAATAAATGGTGAGGGGGTCTAAAAATATTACTTCCTGTTGCAAATTATCTAAAATGTCTGCTACCTTGAACTGAGTAATTAACGATAAGATTCAAAGACTAGCCCCGCTTTTCTGCCGTTCAACTAAAAGCCAATATAAGCAAAGGCAGTGCCTCCTGTTTATTTCCAATGTGTGCTCCAATTTTCGTTTTGCCGGCCTTTGATTTGTTAACCAAATAGTTTCCCAAGCTGTTTGTTTATTTAATTAGCATTCGGCAATACTCACTTACTATATTCGGTCGATGGCGCTGCTCGAGGCTCCCGGCAAGGTGTCCGTCCACAGAGCTCTAGATTCCCGGACAGGCGGATCTCCAATTGTACAAAGTGCCATTTACCGAGCTCGCCCACGCACGCAGCCAGCTCAATTTATAAATAGATCTAGATTCTCCACGGCGCTCGTTTATTTTCCATCTCAATCTCGGCTCAAGTGTCCGCGTCCCTCGAAGATCGTCGCCAGGGGAAGTGCAGCAGGGGCACCGGACACCGGTGCATCCGCGGCTAATGGAATACAATTCCAGGAAAACACAGCGCGAACTCAAATGTTTGCGGAGCCACTCGAACATCAAATTTCCATTCCACTCACGCAGCGAGTGGCAATGAATTCGACTTTTAGTTATTTACACCAAATCAGATTCCTGAGAAAATAATAGATTTTCCAACGGGCACGTCCATAGTGATATGTATTCCTTAAACAAAATTGCGAAACTATAACATTTTAGTAGTTCAGCCTCTCTATTTGTCCTTACTAGTTTGAATCACTAACTTCAAATAATTATTTTATAATTAGCTCAGAAGCTAGGATTGTTTACGCATTTTAAATATTTTAATAGCTGTTTTATGTTAATTTTAATAACATATAGTATATTTTTCCCAGCGCAGCCACACAGATCGTATGCGTAATATTTCCGGATGCTGGCACGAGCCATTAATTTATGGATCGCACCCCTTTTCTCTTTTTCACGCACAGGAATTCTCATGAGCAGCGCCCACTGAACACCACTGCCATTTGGTTTGGATTCGGATTATACCCATCCTATATATATACCTATATATAGCCGAGATGCTGCAGCACACGATGACGAAGCGGAAGACGCTGATCATCGGCTTCTTTGGCATTGCCCTGGGGCTCTGCATCGGCACCATGCTGAAGAACTACCTGGCACTGGAGATCGTGAAGCGGTGCAGCCTGCGCCCGACGAATCTCAAGACGCCGGCGGAGATCATTGGGCTGCGGGAGGAGGATACCATCCAGAATTCGCAACGGAATCTGGTCTTTGTGGGCGTGATGACGGCAAAGAGCTTCCTGGAGGGCAGAGCGCGTGCGGTGTACGATACGTGGGGCAAGGAGGTGCCCGGCCGGATGGCGTTCTTCAGCTCGGAGGGCAGCTACTCGGAGGACCTGCCCGTGGTGGGCCTCAAGAACGTGGACGATCGCTATCCGCCGCAGAAGAAGTCCTTCATGATGCTGTACTACATGTACGAGCACTACATCGACCGCTTCGAGTGGTTCATTCGGGCGGACGACGATGTCTACATGGAGCCGGACAAGCTGGAACGCTTCCTACGCTCCATCGACAGCTCCAAGCCGCAGTTCATCGGCCAGGCGGGCAAGGGCAACAGCGAGGAGTTCGGCCTGCTCTCCCTGGAGTTCGACGAGAACTTCTGCATGGGCGGACCTGGGGTGATCCTCAGCAGCGAGACTCTGCGCCGCGTGGCGCCACACATCCCCAGCTGCCTGAAGAATCTCTACAGCACCCACGAGGACGTCGAGGTGGGGCGTTGTGTCCAGAAGTTCGCCGGCATACCCTGCACATGGAACTACGAGGTGAGTAGTCCCGATTGGGCATACAAAATGTTGCATTTATAGAACCTAAAACATATTTCTTTTAGTTTTTTGCTTGTGCACAAATTATCTTTAAATACCTTTCTTTAACTTACAAATATCCAGATGCAGTACATTTTGCGGCACAACTCCAGTGGCCGAAATGCGTACACGGGAAAACTGAAGCGGAAGGAGATCCACAACGCCATCACACTGCATCCCATCAAACAGGCGCCGCTCATGTACCGCCTGCACTCCTACGTCCAGGTGAGTCATCACTGTGCTGCCTTAGAACTCAAGGGATAATAATGAATAATAAATACAACAGGGTCTGAAGGCGGAGGAGATGCGTCAGGAGTCGCTGCTCCTCCATCGGGATATCAAGCGGATGGCCAATTACCTGGAGGTTCCGGACGAGAGCACCTACATGATGCCCAGTGTCTCGCCCGAAAGCGATTCTACCAAGCGGCACTTCCAGGATCACAACATATTAGGTGGGTTGCAAAACTCAAATATAGAAAGATACGTAGGTAGATACAAATATACAAAGCCAAAAAGATACACATATGCAAAGTGAGGAGTGCACTACAAGAACATTTACTTAATACAACTGGAAACGAAAATTTATCCGAAAAACTACGAAAATTCAGGCACTGGCGGAACCGCATCCTTGTCCTGGTTGCAGAGGGTGACTCCACTGCCCAGGCAGGCGGCATAGCCCATTAGATGGGGCAGCAGGTTCTGCTCCATGACGCCACCAAACAGATGCGACTGCGGACCCATTGCAAAGACTGCCACATCCTCGCCAGAATGCACGCCCTTTCTTCCATGAATGTAACTGGGTGTGTAGGATGCTGGTGGGGGAATAAAAACGGGTTATTTGAAGCAACCACATCCGGAACCGTGGAGATTACTCACTGGGACTGAGGGTCTTGCTGGGACTCTCCCTCCGGCCTTCATTGTCCAGGCTCTGCCACTTGCCGATGGCGTAGTTGAGGGTGCTGTATGGCACTCCGTTCACATCCCGCTGCTGTGCATCCATGCCCAGGATGGGTGTGCCCCGCTTGGCATATCCCGCCATGCTGAGCGTGTGTGAGTGGTCCGCGGTGACCACCACCAGGGTATCCCGCGGATCGGTCATCTGGACCACCGTCTCCACAGCCGCATCGAACTCGAGCATCTCATCGAGGGCGTAACCCACCCGGGTTTCATGGTGTCCATGATCGATCCGCCCACCCTCAATGAACACGAAGTAACCATTCCCATCCTCGCGGGACTTTTGCTCCAGTTTTTCAATGGCCACCGCTGCCATTTCGCAGAGTCGCGGCTGCTCCTTGCTGGCGGCCTGGTGATAGGACATGTGGCTGTCACTGAAGATACCCAGAAGGTTACCAGTGGCAGCGCTGCAGTTCCTTAGCTCTTTCAGGGATCGCGAGAAGCAGCCATTGGGATTGGATTCGCGCCACTGAGCCAACAGATCTTTGCCATCCCGGCGCTCCTCGGCGAATTTTCCCAGACCACCGCCCAGGATGACGTTAAGATTGCGTCCCGGCTCCTCCTCCATCAGCTGTCGGGCAATCTCCAGCTCCTCTCCCCGCCTACTTACATGGGCGTAGGCACCCGCCGGACTGGCGTCCGTCAGCCGGGTGGTGGTCACCACTCCCGTGGCCTTGCCGGCCCGCTGTGCCCACTGGAGTACGGAGTCCACCCGCTCACCACTGCCACTCTGACCCACTGTGCCGCTGTGCGTCTTAACACCGCCAAAATAGGCGGTGGCCGTGCAGGCGGAATCCGGTGTTTGCTCGTCGATGCAGTACGTCTTGCTCAGTGCGGTGAAGGGGAATTGCTCCACTGCCAGCTGTGCCTCTTCTCCGCGTCCTCCGCGCCGTTGCCCCTTCAGGATGCGGGCGGCCGTTAGGGTGGTGATGGACAGTCCATCGCCCAGGAGCATCACCACATTCTTGGCCTGCCTCTCATCAGCGATGGTGCCCTTGGTCCTGGCCAGACGTTTGCACAACTGAGCCTGCGCCTGGCTGAGCCAATGCGACGATAGCAACTCATCCGCCGGCTGCACTTGCTCCACCAAGGAAACAGATTGTGCAAGCATGGGGATAAGAGCGAGGAGCAGGAACAGGATCGGCATTCGCCTGATTTGAAGCGACATCTCGACGCGGGTAATTTCGGCCGGGGGAAACTGACTGTCGCCGCCGTCAGCCGTTCGTTTTAAAGGCCAACTTCGTTGGGGATTATCAAGCGAACTCACCGGAGAGTTAACAAGCACCACCTGGTGGGGCGTGTTTCCATGAAAGCGCATTTGCATTGGCCCAGTTCCAAGTTAATGATATGCCTTATTCACTTTCATCCACAGGAATTAGTCCGGAACTGAATAAATTCGTGCCCGGAAGCACCGACGACCTCCTGGACTGGTCCTTCATCGCCCGCAGCCTGTACTCGGCCAGTTCCGCCAATCCCAAGCAGAAGATCGATTCGGCGATGCGGGAGGGACTGGAGGATGCCATCACTGAGGTGATGGAGAACATCAATAACTATTCCAGGCAGCGGGGTCGCGTCATCGAGTTCCGGGAACTGCTTTACGGCTACCATCGGTTGGACGCCCTCCACGGCCAGGACATGATCCTCGACCTGCTGCTCATCTACAAAAAGTACCGGGGCAAGAAGATGACCGTTCCGGTGCGAAGGCATCTCTATGTTCAGCGGGCCTTCACGGGCATCTTTGTTAAGGAGGTGGACGAGGACTTCTACAATGTCACCCTGCAGCAGAGTGAGTATTGCCAAAGACACTAGAATAATAAGATGCGTAACGCCATACGATTTTTTTGCACACGATTTTTCGGCCAGAGAGAGAGAGAGAGAGAGCGCTCTAGAGCCAGCAGCTCTCTTGTAGGGATGCCAACTTGATCTTGCAAGTAATCAATCTTAATAGCGCATACACTACACCACTGCTCGTCCGAGAGCAGAGATTACTTGAACTATTTTGCGATTCAAAATTAGAAGACATGCCTTACAGTCTTCACTAGAACTAGTTGGCAATTATAGGGCTACAAGAAAATATTTTTCCTAAGCAAATATTAAAAGCGGCAATAACTATGTGTTCCGACAGTAAGTTAAACATTCTTCAGGCTTTAATTAAGACAATTTTTACTACTTTGTGCAAGTAACACATACACTACATACATACTTACATACATAAATATTTACATACATACATACATACATACATACATACATATACATACATACATACATATACATACATACATATACATACATACATACACATACATACATACATATACATACATACATACATACATATACATACATACACCGGTACATACACCGGTACATACACTGCACTTACACTACACTCGCTGCTCGACCGGTGTGACTCTAAATTAGAAGACATGCCTTACAGTCCTCGCTAGAACCAGTTGGGAATTACAAGAAGGGCTACACGAAAATATGTTTCCTAAACATGAATCTATATTATTTGCACTCTGGCAATCGAGTACAAGTAAATTAACTCGTAAACTCGTAAGTAAATTATAGTGGCTGCGCAGTGCAAAACCAATGTATGGCCGTTACGCATCTTATTATTCTAGTGTCTTTGGTATTGCCTATGGGAAATGATTGTAGTTAAGATATCTCCATGTGGCAGTAACATTTTCATGGGTTTTCTTCCTTATACTTACTTACATTACTTAATGATACTTACATTTTTATACTGGACCGTAACATGTGACCTTTTCCGCCGACAGGTCTCCTGGGCAGCCTGTTCCAAAACGGCATGGCCCGCTTAAGCAGCCACTTCACGATGCCCAGTGGACTGCTGTCACCGTCGCAGGACAAGATCGTGTTCGTCCTGCCCATCGCCGGTCGCTTGGGAACCTTTGAGCGTTTCCTGCGCACCTACGAGCGTGTCTGCGTGCGCGGCGAACAGCACTGCGACCTCCTGGTGGTGATCTTCGGGTCGCCGGACGAGCTGGCCGATCACCTGCAGCTGCTCCACGATCTGCACGCCCGACATGTGTACCAGCAGGTGAACTGGATCCAAAGAAGCAGCGCCTTCTCACGCGGCGTAGCCCTGGACGTGGCCGCCAGATCATCGTACATTCGCCAGGAGGATATCATTTTGTTCATCGACGTGGACATGGTCTTCGAGGTGGAGACGCTGCAGCGCGTGAGAATGCACACGCAGCGGGGCAAGCAGGTTTACCTGCCCATCGTCTTCAGTCAGTACGATCCGCAGAGGAGGAGCGGTGGTGCAGGGGAATCCGAGGACGAGGGGGAAACGCCCAGGATCGACGACGAGCGGGGCTACTTCCGGCAATTTGGATTCGGCATCTGTGCCATCTACAAGTCGGACATACTCGATGAGGATATCAATGGTTTCGACAAGGACATCACCGGCTGGGGCCTGGAGGACGTCAAGTTCCTGGAGAAGATTGTGCGCGTGGGCACCAGGCAACGCGGCTTCCTGGCCAACACCGCCGAACTGGCCATGGACTACAACGAGGCCGCTGAGCAGTGGCGCAGACTGAGTGTCTTTCGTGCACCCGACCCCACGCTAGTTCACGTCTACCATGACATCAGCTGCGACGTGCAGCTGGACGCGCCGCAGTACAACATGTGCCTGGGCACCAAGGCCAACTCCCTGGGCAGCACACGTCTGATGGAGCAGCTCTTCCACAGCAGTCCCGAAAATGTCCACTTTGCCGCCGAATTCAATCGCCAAAAGCAGCAGCAGCAGCAACAGCAGGCCAGGTGATGATCGATCCCATCCAGATCCAGTGATCCCCGCCAGCGATCCTGCCACATAGTATTATGCTAAATGTTTCCTACATGAGGGCGTGTGCCAGCCCATATGCCAAACTTGGTAAGTCCCTAATGCTAAGCCAGCCCAACTTATGATCCTTATTATGGTCATAAATGATTAGATGGGTGAAACAACTGTAAATGAATAGGATCTAGAAAAGCTACCGATACAAAAAGTTAGTGGTGTAATATCTATGGACATTTTGTATGCTAAGAAATTAAATGTAGACAAAAGTTAAAGGTTCATTGATGGCACAAAAAAACATCATTATTTATCATTATCATTATTAATTGTGTACACGTTTTCTTTAAACATGTCAATAATATTATATTTAAACCCTGATTTCCATGTAAAATCTATTAAAATTAGCATTGCTTAAAAGAATATTATATGTCAATGTTGTAAACTGAAAAGTAAACTTCAAAAGCATACAAAATCGTTGTTCCAATATAATTTTTAGTTGTATAGATAATTATTAGCAAATACAAAGTATTTTAATGGTTGGTAGTCCCTTCGAAATAAATAAATATTTCTTTTATAATGATTTTAAGTCAAACGTTTTAGAAATGCGTTTTGGTTGGGCTTTCAACTGTAGATTTAAGGACTTATATTAAGATGCAGCCATATATCCAAGATTATCTTTAATGTTAAAGATGCTTTAAATAAAAAAAGAAAAAATCATTCTTGATTTGATTATGAAACCCGCATTTGAATGAATGCTGTGTCTATACTTCTTTTAATAATAAACTATTCGGTTGTACAAAAATAGCTTTTGTATTAATACAAAAACAGTCTTTTATTTAACGTTTTAGCGTTTGTTTTGTATAAAAGTGGACAACTACAACCAGCAATAGGTATTATTTTGATTATAATTTATAAAACTAGAGGTGTAACTATGTTATATCAGTATTATATAGTTATTTAAAAGATCACACGTTGTCTATATCATATTACCGGACACTGTTTAGACAGCATTCGGTTTTGGTCAGGTTACGCATTAGCCTCTTCTTAGGTCGTATTAAAGTTTGCTCAGCATACCTTTATACGTAATCCACCGGTTCTATGCCCAGGACTGCCAAAGCCTTATTCAGAACTTGTCTTACCGCCATGATGAGGTAGATCCTGGCGTACAAGGTCGGCATTAGTTGATCGCGCTTTTGGACAAGGACCTTCTTTAGACGATAGAAGCGACTGAAAACGCCAGCCAGGTTCTCAATATAGCGCAAAAGCAGATGGATACCGCAATGACCCTGTGCCAATTGATCCATCAAAGATGCCATTAGCTCCGGAAAGGTGAATAGATATCCATAAATCAACTGCCAATCAATCTGCGGAAAGAGAATATAAAGGATATAATAAAATGGCAAGGGCAAAAGTTCACATACATCATCCTCTAAAACGCTGAGATCGATCTCCTCCAGCGGTGGCAGTTTCTCGTAGACGCCAGCCTTCACCTGATTAGCAAATGTGCGCAGGAGCGTCTCCAGTCGTGCCGAATTGTACAGGATGTACGCAGCCCCTTTGCAAATGCCCAATCCATTGCGCACCACAGTCACGGCGCTGGCGTGGCGCACCTCGAAGAGATCCACGATCACGGCAGCTGCCCCAAGACGCCTCATTAGCGTGTCAAGGCTGCTCATTCCCGCCGGACGGATTCCAGAGCGGTGCATGGCCATTAGACGCATATGCGTGCAGCGTAGCCTGTATTGAACAGATAAAGAAGAATGCGAGCACAAGAAAGATAGAGATGCAATTACATAGGTAAACTCCACTAAATATCTTGAATATTGACAATCAAGTTTTTGACAAAATATGTACTGATATACTCACTCCAAGTACTCGTCAACGGTCAATCCGGTGGCGGTCTTTTTCACGGGTTCCAAAACAGGACCGCTTACGAGGCACACATGTCCCCTGGGCTGCAGGCGCTTGCAGCATTTCTCCAACTCAACATTCACACAGAGGGTGTCCTTCTGTTGGTCATTGGGCTCTACCAGGCGCCAGGACGAGTAGCCCACCAGGCGGAGCAGGATCTTGTAGAGTTGCTGCAGGCGATAGTGGCGCAGATCCTGGCAGCCATCGGTGGCTCCGGCATTGGCTTGCAACTGCAAGCACAAGGTGAGCAAATGCGTGTTCTTTGCCGGACGGCCGTAATCTTCTCCCAGAGTGAGCACAGAGTTAAGGACATGAGCGATGAGCGGACGGCGCTCAAAGCGAAGAGAATAGCGTTCCTTATGCAGCACGGTGATTTCGACAAGCGGAAAGCGCCACTTGCCGGACTGCTCGATCAACTCCAGGCGCTCCTTCTCGCCGGGGAGCAGTTGGTCAGCATCGTGGCGCAGCTTCAGACCCTGATCTTTTACATATTTCTCCCAGTAACGCGAGATGGCCGCCAAACTCAAGTCACCCTGCTTGGCCAGATCCTCGTTGTGGTAACGGATCAACTCGCCGCATTTCTTAAAGGGCAACGGAGCCGCTGCATCGCCGCCAG